TTCCCTGCTCCTGCTGGCCACACTATTTCTGATACAGGACAGGATGCCATTGGCCTTCTTGGCCGCCTGGGCACACTGCCGGCTCATGTTCAGCCGGCTGTCAACCAGCACCCCCAGGTCCTTTTCCGCCAGGCAGCTTTCCAGCCACTCTTCCCCAAGCCTGTAGCGCTGCATGGGGTTGTTGTGGCCGAAGTGCAGGACCCGGCACTTGGCCTTGTTGATTATCTCACTTGACATCCTGTAGTTCCTGAATTATAGGAGTCAGTAAGTTAATCGTGAATGAGGTGCGTAATCCACCTTCTCCACATGCTCACAACTTCATAAACTTCATAAACTTTATCACATCATTCCCGGGCTACAGGTTACAGGCAATTCACTGCAATTGTCCATTCTTCTATATCTCTTAATATTATATTCTTGAAACAGAAATAATGAGAGCTCTCTCCCTTTTCAGAGAATACTTATCAATTCATATTAAAAAAGAAACCACAGTATTAAAGTTAAAATAATAACTAAGATTATGGCAATGGATTAGTACTAAATATGACTGAGTGAAAAGAGAAGCATCTCAGACCCCAATGCACCTGTACTGGGTGTGACAGAGCAGGGTGGGCTCTTCTGTATGGGCCACTTATTTTGACAGCTGCTTTGGCCAGGTATAGCCAGGAGAGCTGGGAAGGGAAGGGGGCTGGTCACATCCATTTGATTGCAGTGAAAGCCTTTTAATGCAAGAACAAGACAGGCCAACACCATAGCTTATACCTGAGACCTCAGGTATCCTCTAAAGAAAGCTCCACCTGTGATGCTTTGGATGCCAAGGTGGGAAGCCATTTCCTGAAGCATTCCCCTTTCCTTACCACTGATTTCTGTGTGGCCACCTCAGACAGCTAATGCAGAGTGCCCGCTCCTCACCCCCAGGAGCAGGCTGCCGGTGGGATGCCGCTGAACTGGGGAGGCTGGGGTAGCAGTTATGCACTGTGGGACAGGCGGAGGTCCAGGGACAGGGAGAGAGCCCTCTTCCCACTCTGCTTGCCCTCCCGTGGCCAGTGTTCCCATCCCTCTCCATCATGCAGCTGTGCCCTCCCGGCTCAGCAAGTCTGCCTGTAGGACACAGGGCAGCGAGTGAGCCTGGATGGTAGAGAATTCAGAACAGCGGGCCACACCGGCGCTTCAGCAATCTGCTCTGTGTTTAGATATGTACACCAGGACATAATTTTTTAAATTATAATTGTCAGCAGCCCAAGGTAACAAACAAACTAGAAACAGCTATGACGGTGCCCAGTGGAAGGGAAGGAAAGCAGCAGAGACAATACTAGATGTGTGAAGGTTTTGTGCAGTAAAACCAGCCTATGGGGCCATCTAAGCAGCAGGAGGAATTCAGAAGAAGGTACATTCAGGCTGGAGAAAGTGATTGGAAAAGACTGTTTCAGTGATATAGCTAAGAAATTGAAAATTTTAACTCTTTCATGTGATCAGGCAGGAATGTGACTAAACAGATTTCCACTCTACAGATATTTTTACTCTACCATTTTGCCAGTGTCGTGGTTTAGCCTCAGTCGGCAACTGAGCACCACACAGCCGCTCGCTCACTCCCCCCCACCCGCTGGGATGGGAGAGGGAATTGGAAGAACACAAGTGAGAAAAACTCGTGGGTTGAGATAAAAACAGTTTAATAATTGAAATAAAATAATAATAATAATGTAATAATAATAATAATAATAATACACAAAGCAAGTGATGCACAGTGCAATTGCTCACCACAGCGGCCACCCCGGCCAGCTTTCCCCAGTTTATGTACTGAGCATGACGTCACATGGTATGGAATGTCCCTTTGGCCAGTTTGGCTGTGCCCCCTCCCAGCTTCTTGTGCACTTCCAGCCTTCTCAGTTGGTAGAGCATGGGAAACTGAAAAGTCCTTGGCTAGTGTAAGCACTGCTCAGCAACAACTAAAACATCAGTGTGTTATCAACTTTGTTCTCATCCTGAATCCAAAACACAGCACTGTACCAGCTACTAGGAAGGAAATTAACTCTATCCCTGCCGAAACCAGAACAGCCAGTCAGCCAGTATTTCAGGAAGCCTGACAAGGACACTGTGTTATATTATGTACAGTAGGAAAATTACTTATGAGACATATGGGCTCAC